TTATCCACCACGTTCCAATCGCGGACGGCGGCGAGTGCGAGGCAGTTCAGCACGCGCGAGGTGACACACACGAGTGCTCGAGACAAATCCGACTCGGGCAACTGCCCGAACTCGCCCGGGAAACTGTCGTGGTACACCACCGTGGTGCAGCTCCAATTGAGCACAATCACACCGCGACTGCCCCATTTCCCCAGAACCCGCTTCATCGGGCCATCCGAAACGCACCGCTTCAACAACACTGCCAGGTACCAAAGAGGCGAAACTCCTGACGGTCGCGCCACCACCGCCTCACACTCCTTCACCAACGCAAGCACCTGCTCGGATCCGTAAACGTCATGCAACATCCCCGCCAGACTCAGCCAACGCCAACCCACGCTCCGCCACCGCTCGTTCGCCCTTTCGGCCTTCAATAATCCCGCTCGCAACTTCTTTGCCGCAAACTCAGCCACGTGTGACCGCGCCGTCGCCCACTGCTCTTGTTGCACCACACTCCACCTGCGCCGTTCCTCCGCCTCCGTCGTCGCACACTCCGCCAACACCTCTTTCATGTACGTCACCGGCCCCGGAGCCTGAAGAGGAATCAGCACTCCGACTTGGGCTGCAGCATCCGGCCCTCGGGATTGTGTTGGCGCAGCCTCCGGTCCTTGAGATTGTGTTTGGGCTTCTCCGTTCTCCGCGGCGTGGGTAGGCTCTGGCACGTAGTCCCAGGGGGAAAGCGCGCAGTCGAGGACGTAGGTGAGGAAGCGTTCGCCAGGCACCCAGTACCAGCTCGTCGGCGGCGGCAGACGGTCGCGCATGAACGCTGTGACCTGGCTGCAAGCGGCGGGGCTGAGCACGCGCTTCAAGAACGGGAGCAGTCGCTGCCCCTTGGCCGGCTCGCGCTCCTCAAGCAAGCCCCAGGGTAATGTGCGCTCTGGTCGCGCGAGCAGGTACTCGAGTTTGGAGAATGCGCAGGTAAGCTGCAGCCCCTCGGCGCTCCACGGCAGGGGCGCACACATGTTTGCGGCGGGTGCGAACGTCTCCCAAAAAGGCGTCCGGCGCCGTCGACGCCGGCCTCGGTTGCAAGCATGCACGCCAGCCAGCGCGCCTCTGGATGCAACTTCAGCACGCAGGCGAGGAACCAGGAGTCAGTCAGGTCGGGTGGCCGCGGGATCACATCCGCGAACGCTTCGAGCCAGCTTTGGGGCTCGGGCAGTTGACTGCAGACCAGCCCCGCCAGGTACAGACTGTCCCACGGGCAGCTGCGGAAGTCCACCCTCTGCGTCGCAAAGGCCGGCATCGTCACCAGCGTCCTCGACATCATCTTCGCGATGCGTTGACTCGTCATCTCCGGCAGAACCGTGTGCTCGTGCGCCGCACACGCTCGCACCACCCATGCTGTCAAACTTGGCCCCGACGCACCCGTCTGCGCCTCCGGCACCGATTTGCTCAACGAAAGACAAGAGGGCCCCGGCGCAATCACCGCCGGGGGCCTCCCGCCCGGTGGTAGGCTCGCAGGCACCTCCGAGTGGCGAACAGGTGGCTCGTGCACCGGATTCGCCTGGCTTGGCATCCACTGGCCCGACATCCAGTGGCCCTCCATCCACTGATCCCCC